TAAAAAAAGAGGCTACACACGCGGAGGGAAGCGCACCCGCACACGAGGGAGATAGATTTTCTCTCTTTTATCTAACATTTATTTATTTTTATTAATATGTTAGACTAGTTTTTCTACTCGGTTTTAGGAGATGTTTGAACTCTAACTTAAATTTGTCTATGAATTGAAGGATTTTTTTTTAATCTTTGATTAATCGAGACGCCGTATTTATTTTGTTGATGAGTTGATTCATGTTATCTGTGTTTAGCGTTTATGAATTATGGTGTTTGATTTAGTTTGGCCAGCTAGGTTGAATATTCATAGTTTAATTGCTAGATTCGAGGCTTTAATCTGTAATTGTTATTGTCTCCTTTCGGTAGTAGCAAACTAAGAGTCGTGCATCTCTAGGGTAGCGTGAACATAAGTTAAATGGTCCGAGCTTTTGTGCCTATTGCTTAGACTGATCTATTTTCCTAGGAATTAATGCCGCTAGTGCATTAAATCTAGAGAGCTTATTCTAGGTTGTCCACTAGTTAGGTTTAGTCGAAGAGCTTATTTTGATTAAATATTCGGTAAGGGAAATTTCGGTTAACAAAGTCTGTTGTTAGCTAGGGTCGGTAATTCATTAGCAATTTAAAGAAAGCATCGAAATTAATTAACGGTAGATTAAGATTTGGTGATAACTGAACCGGAAACTGGATTTCTTATATTTTATTTGATTTGATTTTATTTTATTTTACTATTTTTATTTTTATCAATTCAATCCTTCCTTTTATTGCTTTCGTAGTTTAGTTCAGTTAATACGAAAATTGTCACAATTTAATTCATGTTCCTCGTGGGATCGACCCTTACTCGCCGCTACTACTAGTTAGTAGAGGTTAGTCGAGGATAATTTATAAATTTAAATTTGCCGTGTAACGACGCGCGGTCAAGTAGTTGGGACATGATGCATTTATAGGCTAACATTAGAGATATTAAGGACGTGCTAAATATGAGTTTTTCAATCTAGGATTGGGAAACCTAAAAATCCTCCAACTCCTTTCCCTTCTAAAAGTCTTAGTCCCTTCCAACTCGGGGTACAAGTCAACTTGATAAGAGGACTTGGAGGTCAGGCTCCTCAAGAAGATTGGATAGATGGGGGGACCTCACCATCAGGAGGTAGAGGTTGTGGTTACGACCTAGAGGTTGTGGTTACGACCTGGTTAGGGTTTGTGTTATGTAGGCAGCGAGGTTGTTCGGGCGATCTAAGGATCTAAGTGTAATATGTTAAGAAGGGACATAATCGTTCAATGATGAAAATTGTATCTCGCTAAGGAGTCTGAAATTCTAGAAACGTGATAAGCTAGAAAAGTAGATACAATTAGATCTCTTTCCAAGACAAGATTCTACTTGGGCAGCAAGACATCTTAGTATATAAAATGGCGATCACGTTTTATTATTGCGCAACACATATTTATGCTTACAACATACAGTTTTATACATTCTAACAAGCGAGTACTGACTTGAGCTAGCGTCGGAGGTTTTTCCGCCAGGACCCCTTGATGAAGGATCGGGTGTTGCGTTCACTCGTCTTGTCTCGATCACGGCTTCGCCACGGCCTTGCTCTCGACGATAGGTGTGATCGACTCGGTTATTAGCCTAACTCTCT